ACAAAAAGAAACGAACATCTGCCATTCCAAGCAAGAAAGAACAATCTGAGCTCCAGCAATCAAAGAAAAAACAAAAAGAAACGAACATCTGCCATTCCAAGCAAGAAAGAACAATCTGAGCTCCAGCAATCAAAGAAAAAACAAAAAGAAACGAACATCTGCCATTCCAAGCAAGAAAGAACAATCTGAGTTCCAGTAATCAAAGAAAAAAACAAAAAGAAACGAACATCAACCATTCCAAGCAAGAAGGAACAATCCGAGCTCCAGGTCTCTACTCGCACCAAGAAACTCGTGTTTTCCACAACTCCTCTTCCACCCTTAAAACTGCCATCTAGTACTTGAAAAAAAACAAAAACACACACACACACACACAAAATCAGGTTATCAACCTACGCCACCCTACGACGACGTACAAACAAAGAGCAGGAGAAACTCGCCCCTAGAAACTTGCAAAACGACTTCTCGACTGTTATTCTACGGGCTGATAAAGGCAACAAACTCACACTACTGCAATTAAAAAATAAGAAAAAGGGCAGACTAAGAACTACATAAATCACACAGATTAGACGAAAAATCTAGAAACTTCTTAAATCTCTGACAGATTATAACTTATAGCAATATATCCCTATACCATCTTCGAAATTTGATTTGGTTTGTTCTGAATTTCGCTCAAGGCTACTCGAGAGCTGTCTGCGCCGTCCCAGATTCGACCGTGACAGACCAGAGGGAAGGCATCTTGTCAACACCATCCACCACAAACTCGTGGGCTACTTTTTCATCAACAATTAGTGGGATTGACCGTATCTTTATAACGCCCCCATGGCTGAAAGGGCGAGCACGTTTGTTGAGACGGGGATTCGAACCCGAGACCCTGAGATTGTCAGTCAAGCGCCCTAACCACCATATGGAATACCCGAATTATATAAGCCTGAAATCCATCACTGATCCACGGTGACTTTTAACAGTTCCATATTAGCTATCTACCAGACTAAAACTCCATGTCAGATACAATAGTACGATCTGACGATTTCTTGTAGAGTCATTCGTTTTTTACGTATTTCTGAAAAACAAGCATTACTAATACGATGAATTTTCTTAACCCTACAATATTGTGTTCGAATTTTAGGTCCGCCACTTATGTTTCGGCCATATTCCGAAGCAATTTAAAATATTTTGAAACAACTTCGAACTGATAAAATGATTTTTTTTTCCTTTGCGTTGTTTTTTGATCTTTTTAAGTAAACTTTTATTATAATAATAAACTTAAAAGATACATATATCTGAATCATAACGTTATGTAAACTCGTGGTTTGTTTTGAATTTCGCGCAGAACTACTCGAGGTCTATCTGCGCTAGCCGTCCCTAATTTAGCAGTGGTAGACTAGAGGGAAGGCAACACACACACACACACCACAAACTCTTTGGCTACTCCTTTACCAACGAATAGTGGATTGACCGTCACATTATAACGCCCTCACAGCTGAAAGGGTGAGCACGTTCAGTGTAACGAGGATTCGAACCTCAAGTTGCGAATCCAAGCGCCCTAAACACCAAGCTATGCCAGGTCGGAAACCCGTGTAGAGTTAAAGACAATACATTATATTGAAACACTAAAAGATGTATTTATAGATTGTAACGATGGTAACCAACGATGGTAACCAACAGCAACTCGCTCTAATGAATCAGTCGGGCACGGCATGGCCTGATGGTTAGGGGCAACTGACTCGCAATCTGAGGGTCGCGGGTTCGAATCCCCGTCCCACCAAACATGCACGCCCATTCAGCCGTGGGGGGGGGGGTTATAATGTAACGGTTAATCCTATTATTCGTTGGTAAAAAAAAGAGTAGCGTAAGAGTTGCGTGGTATGTGTGTGCTGCCTAGTCTTACACTGCTGAGTTAGGGACGGCTAGCGCAGATAACCCTCGTGTAGCTTTGCGCGAAATTCCAAACAAATTAATCAGTCATCTACGTGACAGGTCTCCAGGTCGTATATAGTATGTCATGAAACATGTTTGTTTGCTTGTTTGTTAGTTAAGCATAAAGCTAACATATACTATTAGCTCTCTGTTTTGTGTCCACCGTGGAAATCAAAACCCGCTTTATAGCGTAAGCTTTCAGACTTATCGCTAGGGGGGGGGGCATGAAACACGATGACACGAAATTAGAGGCGAACAGATGGCAGGGTTGTCGATTTATGGCCCGTAAGCGGAATATGTAAACTAATTTTCCACAACATCTCAACTCATTGATCTGATACTCAGTTGATCGTGTAACTCATCGAACCTGTTTCCACCGTAACGTCTCTACCATTGAAAGTAGAAAGGATAAATAATAAAATATGCCTCCACTTCAAATGTAATCACGTTCGCTTGATTAAGTAAGGCGTCGATCCGAAAACATTCCACGGAAAACAAACAGAACGAAGACAATACTTTTCCCCATCACTAAACTCTCTATCATCTTCATTAAGACATAATGGATAAACTGAAGCACACGAAACGAAGTTAGTTCACGAAGATGTAACTAAACCATTTAGAATTTGCTGGAAATTCAGCTCGCAAGTGTATTGTGAAAGCGGGAAATATTTTCTGAACGATCTTAATCAAAGTAAAACAACCAGATTGCAAAGTTGATTATACCGCGGATTCATAAACTGGAAAAACGGCCTGAACAAATGGAGAATGACTAAAAGTAAAACGAACAAGTGAACTTGCAAAGTTACAAAAATACCGATGCTATATCACAACTTAAAATAATGGGAAAACAGCCTGAACAACTGAATTACTAAAGGAACAAACAAAACAGTTTAATAATGATGCTTTATGCGAACAGTAAACTTGTTAATGGACACAATAAATTGCAGGAGGCTTCCTTATAGAAACCGAAACGACGACTAATTTTAGTCACAGGATGTCGCTTCCAACTAAAATTTCACTAAAAAAAAATAACAAAACAAATGTATTCTTAATCAATTAAAAACAAAAATACTTTGAAATATTCATAAACAATACGAAAATTTGTTGAATAAAAACGTGCTCGATTCAGAGTAATCTATTGTTTACCGAAGAAATCAGTAATTTGGTCAAATATTAATCAAAATCATTCTTAACTTTAAAAATACACCTTAGTTAGTCAAAATAAAATACTAATCTGAAAAATCTGAACTGTAATACCGAGATGTACTAAATTCACAACACTCGGCTGAATTTCTGCAAGACTGATTCATAGAATTAGTTGACTGAACTCTACCAGGTGCTATTTAATGAAACCAAAGATCGAGAATGTGATACTGTTAGGCTTAACAATCTGCGAGTGTGACACTTTTAGGCTTAACAATGGACGCGTGTGACACTGTTAGGCTTAACAATGGACGCGTGTAACACTGTTAGGCTTAACAATCTACGCGTGTAATACTATTAGGCTTAACAATCCACGCGTGTAATACTATTAGACTTAACAATCCACGCGTGTAATACTATTAGGCTTAACAATCCACGCGTGTAATACTATTAGGCTTAAAAATCCACGCGTGTAATACTATTAGGCTTAACAATCTACGCGTGTAATACTATTAGGCTTAACATCAAAGCAAACATTACATACTCTCTACTGTTTTCCTTTACAGGGTCTTTGGGGTATCGAAGCCTCAGGTTTTTTCTGATATCATTGGTTTCGTTCATTGTTCGGATCGAAGCAAACCTTCCCGTCAGTAGAAGGGCCGTCTCTAAAACACAATAAATAAACAATAATCAAAAACCACGTTTTCAATATATTATTTGAAACACTTGTATTAGTATGTGTTGTTAATATATAATTTTATTTTTCTAATGTTATTACTTTTTGATTCTATTTGTTATTATTATTATATTTTTGTTATAGATATTGTTAGCTTAATATTTGTATTTAGGACTAATCTAAATCTCTTACACTAACCGAAACTCGTGAGAGATTATTGGGGTTACGACCGAAAATACTGTTTACATCGAGTATACTCAAATGATGAAACAATGCATTCTAATCTTTGTAAGTAAGAAAGAAAGACAAGTATATTTAATTAGCTGTATTTGTTACTGGCTTGACTTTTAGTTTCAGTCTAAGTAGGTCTGATCGGAAGTTAATATTAAAGTACAGTTATCTTTCTTTGGGGAAAGAAAGTCTCAAACTTTTTTTTTCTTTTGTCAGTTATAGGAAACGTTTGTATTTTTTTTTGAACCATTACTTATTACCCAATCTGTTTGTGGATTTTTCCACCTCTGAGGTGATTTTCCATTTTCTCTTTTGTGCCTCCTCTAGTGTAAGACTACAAGACAAACAGGGATCTTCTAAATTCACTTTCTGTCTCGAATGTTTATAAAATCTCCAAAGATTTACTTAAATTTGCATACATTACCAAAGTGGACCTATAAACTAGTTCTCTGAATTAATTTTTTATACAACCATAGGAAAAAAAAAAAAAAGGTTAAATTTATCGTAGGAATTAATTATGAAACTTAAAACCAAATCACTGAACCTATTTGTTTTTGCTAAGACTAGTATTCACTTATTATACAGTTAGTTCAATCTTGCCTCCTGTTAGCGTAGTTTGCATTTTTTTTAAAAGATATCTTTATAGATGCCGAGCCGGGTTCGAACCCGAACCCATGCGATACGACAAAATATTACCTCCACTTTGAGTTATGGGTGCGTTATAAGAGTAATAGTAAATTCTTTAATGTGGATGGCAGAGTGCTGCTAACTGGCTGATTTTTCCCTCTAGTCAGTAGTTCAAAATTAGGGATGGCGGCAGCTAGCCTTAATAGCGTTACCATGAATACAAAATAAATATTATTTTGTTTTCAACTGCATAATATACTTGCACAGGGAAAAAATAAATTAAAAAGTTTAAGATCCCACTTTTTTGTTCACTCTATGGTTCCACTATATTCAGTTTTTGTTTGCTAATGATGTTTTTTTTTGACAGTTTACGTTTCTAGAAACGCAGAAGTTCAACAACACGTTAAGAGGAAAGAAGCCAGTCAATCAGTTGAAAGTGTCAGTTTCACAAGTTCGGTTCGCCTGTTTGTTTTGTTGCTAAGGAGACCCCACGAACTTTGCTCGGTCAGAGCAGGGCATTGACTGTGTGCTTACTGAAAGACTTTATTGTCGAGAGGACGGAAGAGGCTCTTTGCGACATGATCCCCCCCCCCTAGGACCTTTGACCTTAGGGATTCTTTTCCGCGAAGGATGCCGTCATTTCCATGTTTAATATTTGTTCAGAAACAGATGGGCCAGAACAAACGAGCGGAAAATGTCATTAAAAAAAAAAACAACCAACAACTGATAAAATAAAATAAAAATCAAGCGGTCTCATTCCGTTGTCGTATAATTTTACATTATGCATAAACATATTTATGGCATTGAGTAAGATTAACTCGTGAACCCAAACTTATCAATTCAGTAACTTTAGTTAGGACCCAACTTTATATTGTAATTCGTGTTTATTTTCCTTCTTTTTCTTTTGAAGGGGAAGTGCGTGGGCGTACCTCAGTCTTAATTAAAAAAAGTTGTTTGAACTTACAAAGCGGGCAACGACCGGCAAAGGTGGTCGTGCATCGACGCCCGATATGCAAATCATGTTGAATAAGCTTACAGGGGCACACCACGAGTTATACGATCCAGCTGGGAAAACAAAATGGTTTCTCGTAG